AATCTCATACTAATGGTTAGGTTGTTAGATGATTTTGCTCATGCATTGAATTTTGTTTTTCTTGATAAAAAATATGTGATATTTTGGATGTTATCTATTGAATGTATCTATATCAGCTATGTGGTAATAGTTTCTAGTGTGCTTTGTAAATTAAGATGTTTTGATCTTTTATTGTTTGGAATGTTGGACATGATTTCTTGAATATTTGGTTTTAGATTGATTTATGGTTGCTCACTGTAGTTTCTATTTCTTTACAAAAAAGTTTCAAATTGTACTAAAATTTATTATGTTTGTTGTGATGCTTTGGCATTTTAAATATTAATATTACGTAAATTATAGAATTGAGAAAAAAAAATAATAAATTATGCAAAAAATCGAATATGTTTTAGTAAAATATTGGATTCTTTTATTCAACATATTTTTTGGTTGACACAATTTTTGATATAAAAATACAATATTTAAGATATATATTAATAATATTCATTCATAAAAAATAATATTAATACAAAATATTATTCTTATAATTATTCGATACGATTATACGTATTAATTTAAAAAAAAGTTTTATATCAAAAAACACAAAAAGTGAACACCTCCATAGTTTTAAAAATTTCCACGGGTTCATTTTAAATTTATTTTTAATGAAAACATATATATAAGTTCTGTTTCACTAATGTTTTTAGATGGACTGATTTTTAGTGTATAGTAATTCTATTAAAAATATAAACTATATTATTTTAAGTTAAATATTTTATTTTTTACTTTTTGTAATAGGTATATGAATTTTTGTTTTTATTATTTTGTATTCTTTATTATTAGTTTTGAAAAATCGTAATTCCAAACTAATCTTGAGCGAACAGAAAACAATAAAAAAAAGTGATCATATTTCTTTATGACTGAGATACTATAACTTAATTTTCAACCACAAAATCAACTTAGAAACAAACACACCCTTGCTCGAGTGAATTCCAAACCACAACAACCATTCAAACAATTCATAAAAAAACTAATCGAAAAAGTTAGGGTACAAACACATGGATGCATGTCGGAACATTTCCAATTCAATGCTTTGAATTCCTACGTAACCTTTGAAATATTAATAACCCATTAATTTAAAAAACCATTTTAATCCCCATCAATAATACTCTCATTGTTTGCTAATAAAACATTAAGGGTATGTTTGTTTTGACGTTTTGATTTTGAGTTGAGATTTCAATAGTAAAAATTTTGAATTTGAATAGTTGCATGATGTGATATAAATAGGTGTTGACGTGATGTTTTGATGTAAAATTGATTTTTAGTATAATATAAAAAATGAAAAATAAATGTTTAATTTGATATTTTTCTTTTTTTTTAAAAAAAAGGAGATAAATAGCGGGAAAAATCCCCCAAACAAACACACCCTTGGATACAAAGTATTCATTTTAAGTTGGGTAAACTGTTTTTTTTAGTCCAGTAACTGGACCCTTATCATTTTAGTCCCGTAAGTGGAGCCTGTCGCAAACTAGTTCCATAAGTGAAAAATTTTCGTTGTTTTAGTCCTCCGGCGCTGGAGACGCCCGTGTGGCTCGCCGGAGGTGACGTGTCCGCCAGGTATCCTGCCAGGTCGGCGACACCTGGCGGATACGTGGATTTTTTTTTATTTTTTTTATTTTTTTTTTTACGACGGATACGTGGATTTTTTTTTATTTTTTTTATTTTTTTTTACGACGGACACGTGGATTTTTTTTATTTTTTTTTTACGACGGACACGTGGATTTTTTTTTTCATTTTTTTAATTTTTTTCTAAAAAAGATACAAATAAAATTAAAAATAAATTAAAAATTTTTTAACAAAAATAAAAAATAAAAAATCCACGTGTCCGCCGGGTCAGTGACACATGGCGGACACGTCACCTCCGGCGAGCCACACGGGCGTCTCCGGCGCCGGAGGACTAAAACAACGAAAATTTTTCACTTATAGGATTAATTTGCGACAAGCTCCACTTACTAGACTAAAATGATAAGGGGTCAGTTACTGGACAAAAAAAACAGTTTACCCTTTTAAGTTTTATTGCCTTGGAAACTTCGCTATATTTGAAAAGTATCTTTAAAATTATATTTTTGTTTAGATCAATATTTGTATATTAATTTATACATTATTGACAAAAAAAAGTAGTTTTTATATAGAATGTACAATTCTTTTATTAGTCTTTTATAAATTATACCCCTACAATTAAGCATATTTACAATAATATCACTTAATAAAATTTTAAAATAATCATACGAGATAATTAAGATATTATTATATTTTCATTTAATACAATTACGTTTACTTATTAAATATTATTTCAATATTAATAAATAAATAGACTTTTTTCTCCTAAATTGGGGGGTGAGGAGAAAGTATATTAACTGCGTACCAAAAGTGTGTTTATTTTTTATTTTAAATTAAAAAATTATACTCTCTCCGTCTCATATATTTATTTATTTTTTTTACATAATTTTAAAAATATTAATATTATATTATAATGCTTTATAAATAAAGATAAAAATATTAAATGATAAAAAAATGATGACATTTGTGTAATATATTGTAAATTTGAAGGGTATTTGTAATGTTAGGTACAATTACTAAAAAAAAATTATATTTTCTTATGAGACGAATCAAAATAAAAAAAAATGGTAGATTATTAAGAGACGGAGGAAACATTATTTATTTTTTATGATTTTACTAAAAATGTACTACCTCTGTCCGGAGGAAGAAGAGTAACTTTTACTTTTTGCACGTAAATTTAATATTAATATTATACTGGTTTATAATAAAAAAAAGATAAAAATGTCCCTATTAGATTGTGTTATATAAAAGTAATGATATTTGTGTAATATATTAGAAATTATAAGGGTATTAATTATATTAGGTATCCAGTACAATTAATAAATAAGAAAACGATATTCTTGTTTTGGACGAACAAAAATAAAAAATAGTATATTTTTTTTATAAGACGGAAAAAAATATTATATTTTATATAAAATATTATTTAAATAAAAATTCAGACTCTCGTCTCAATTTTAAATCAAAATCAAATAAACCCCGAAAAACTCCAAAATAATGGAAATAAAAAAGTAAACCGAGTCAATGGCCATAAAGTCCAAGAAGTAGGTTTAAGCACTTCATTTTCACAGGTTCACACCAAACTAAACCTTCTAGAAAGTCCAACATCTCATACCCCATGACATCATTAGTAAATTTTATGAGAATACATACACACATGTGTTCCAAATATATATATATATATATATATATATTTAAAAAATACATTTAAAATATTTTTTTAAATATAATATACCATATGAATATAATAGTTGAATGAGTCATGTGGTGGATTTAAGTTTTTGCTTAATTAGTAATTTGAATTTGATACCCTTTTTAAATATATATATATACACATATATATATATTTGTAAAAAGTCATAAATATTGATTGATAAATTTTAAAAAATGGAAAAAGGTAAAAATGCTTGTCAAGTAATTAAACAAAGTTTATAAAATAAATAGTAATTCCTCCCTCCAAACAATAAGTATATATTTACTTTTGCCACTGAGTTTAAGAAATAATAGTATTTTAATTATAGTTGGTAGGTAAAAGTAGTGTAATGACATTTTTGCCTTTATTTTTTAGTATAAAAGTAACGATGTGATGTAAATTAAATGTATTTGTGAAAAAAAAAAATTGTGGGGTATTTAATAAAATATGGACGTCCCAAAATAAAAATATGTATACTTTGTAACTGGACGAGGGAATATCAAATTATAATTTGAAAACAGAAAATAGCTACAATTTTTCAATAATGCTTTATTCTTGGTTTAATAATTAAATTACAATTAACATATAATTCTTTGAAATGGAAATTAATAATGAAAATAATAATAATAATAATAATAATAATAATAATAATGACTGGTAGCATAATTTTAGCTGACGGGAAAATGTTACATACAATAGCTATTTAAAGAGAAAATTAATACACTGCATATATTCTTTATTTTTTTTTATATTACTACTGATTGTGATTTGAAATTAAAATTTTGATATTTTATAAATAATAACAATTTGAATTAAAAATATATTTTAGATTAAAAAAATTTTATATTAAAAATACTACTACTTCTTATTCCACCAAATTTATGTCTTTCTTATTCCATAAATGTTGGCGAGTCTCGTTTGCGGATAAATAAATAAATTATGCGTTTTCTAATAGTTTGAATTCTTAGGTGTGGCGGTTGGAATCCCACGGTTTCCATTTTACCATTTCAATTTTATTTTTTAAAAAAAAATATCAAATCAAATATTATTTTATATTATTATATTATATTAAAATTTAATTTTACATACAAAATATCACATTAGTACATATTTATATCACATCAAACAATTATTTCAATTCAAAATTTTACTATTGAAAATCAAAACCAAAAATCAAAATTTTATTAGTAAAGACACTCATAATATTTTGAAATATATATAATAATTAAAAAATATTCTAAGGATCTCATTTTACCTTTTTGTGTAACATTAAAAGTATTTTTATAATTTTATAATTTTTTTATACAAATATCCTTCTATTAGTATTATAAGATACTAATAAAAATATTTTTATAATTTTTTTTTAATTTATACTACATTTTAATATAATAATTAATATTCAAATATCATTACGTAAAAGGTAAATAAGACCCTAAAAGTTTGTCGGAACGTTCTATTAAAATAAAAAATAAATGAAATCGAAAACAAAGAGAAACAAAGGAAAGTTTGTCCGAATTGACTTTTCCAATTGATTATTGTCGTAATTTTAGTCATAGATATCACCTAACCTAACCCATCCTTCTTCTCCTCCCATTAAATTTATTCGTATTTATGACTATTAATTAATTAATTAATTACCCATTATAATAATAATAATAAATTATTACTTTTAGAAATTTCTGAATATTTCTATAAATAGCAGAAACAGATCAATTTGGGAAGAAGAGCTCTGTACTGTACTGAACCGTACGGTGTGCTTCACTTCAAGGGGCGACCTGAGATTTAATTTTCCTAAGAACATATTCAATTTGATCGATATACATGGAAGGTGGCTTTCTTGTAGTTCTTCTTGCGGCGTTCGTCGCCGTGGCTGCGGCGCAGACGACGACGACTACGCACGTTGTGGGTGACCGGATTGGGTGGATCATCCCACCGGGCGGCGACGCCGCCTACCGGACTTGGGCCGCCACTAGAACCTTCCGGGTTGGCGACGTGCTCGGTGAGCGGCTTTGTTATATTACGTGTGTTTCTTTGGATTTGATTTGAGAAATTTTTTATTTAAATTTGTTTTTAAATAATATTTAATATGATTTTTTTTTTTATGTTTCTTCGAAAAACTTACTATTCAAATAATAAAACTTCAAAAATTTTGAATATAGAAATACACACTAGTTTTTGAATTTGATGATTTATATATTTAGATATGCTATTTTTTTCTCTGTTTATTCTAATAATACATTGTTATTTATTTTTTTAAAGTATCATATTAAATATTATGGAATGGAATATTTTACTATTTTTAAATATCAAATTCAAACGGTAAAGAAACGTACTTTTATTAAATAATAAAAATATTAAATAAAAATTAGGTATTTGATATAATATAAATAAATATTGAATAAGTATAAATTTTTTTATATATTAAAAATAAAAATTGCATTATGTGTTCTAAATTTGTAGAATATTTATTGTTAGTTATTTTAAAATTTAAAAGTATTTTGAAGAATTGTGATACTATTCGGACAATATGTTTTTTTATTATTTTGAAATAATTTATAAAATAAAATTTATTATTTTATTGAAAAATATATAGGTCGTTTTTTATTAAAAGTATGAATATATGATATTATATTTTTCGAAAATTGATTCTTCATAGTTAAACAACGAACATAGTTTTTTGCTAAATTTATTTTAAAATTAAATTAGTAACAATACAAACATATATAATTTTTTTTTCCAGTGTTCAATTTCACAACGAACATTCACGACGTGGCCGAGGTGAATAGGGCATCGTTCGACTCGTGCAGCGGGGCCAACCCGATCTCTATGACGACCACCGGGCCGGCCCGAATCAATCTAACGACTGCCGGCGAGCATCATTATATTTGCACTTTCTCTCAGCACTGTGCCCTTGGCCAAAAATTATCCATAAATGTTTTGGCCGCCACATCTGCCACCCCGGCCCCACAACCCGCCACTCCTCCGCCAGCCGTTGCACCGCAGCCACCCACCATGGCGGCACCAGCCCCGGCACCTAGATCAGCTAGGACTCACACCGTTGGTGATGGCCTTGGCTGGATCGTGCCGCCGGGTGGTGCAGCTGCGTACCAAACATGGGCTAGGAATATTAACTTCGGTGTCGGGGATACTTTAGGTAAGTTGTTTAATCGACTCATGGTAATTTATATTATTAAAATAGGAATTTTTGTCGATAAATTTTTTTTACAAAAAATATTTGTTTCTTAAAAATATTATATATACAAATAACTTGCTGTTTAGATTAATTTTTTTTTTTTTTCTTTAAAAAAACCACTAACCAATGTAGTTTAAAAAACATCAAATAAATCGAGTCAAGCATGCCTTAATAATTCTGCATATTTTAGTAAAGAATAGTTTGAATTATTGAGTTTAAGGATTTGTTTTTGTTTTAGTTTGAAATTATTTGAAAATGTTAATTTGACTTATATATGTTTTTATTATCTATTAAAATTTTACAAGTTTTTTATAATGAACATCTGTCATTAATATTATCTTTTTTTTTAATATATTATATATTTAATTTTTATTTAAAATATTAAATCAAAATTTTGTTTTCTATACAAAATTTTGAATCTAATATTTTTTTTTTTCATTTCTTTTTTATTTCTAATATTATTCAAATCACTTTTAGAAACATATTTAGACTCTTTGTATACATAGAGATAAGTTTTTGAACTTTTAATACTACTTATAAGTATTAATTTTTTTTTTTTCCCAAAAATCATAGAATGACTATTCTTTTACATAATATTATATCAAATAACTAATTTTTTATTATTCCCAAAATTTTAAAATTTTCAAAATTTTAAATTTTCTTGACTACTAAAAATCATTTATTTATTTTTGTGCAACTATACAGTGTTCAACTTTGGTAATGGAAGACACGACGTCCTAGAAGTAACACGCGCCGAATTCGATTCATGCACTGTCTCAACGACCACCACCCGGCCCATAACTTCCGCCCCGGCCAGGGTTCCTATAACCACCTCCGGCGACCACTATTACATATGCACATTTCCTCAGCACTGTTCATTGGGCCAAAAGCTAGCTATCAATGTCGGCTCTGGCACTGCTTCATCGCCAAACTCCGGTGGGCCCTCAACGCCCTCGCCGGAAACCGCCCCTCCTCCACCAACCAGCTCCGCCCCATTGCCAGAGGCGGCGGCTTCTTTAACCATGGCTCTGTTCTGCATTGCCTTGGTTTTCTTGCATAATTAGAGAGTTATGAATATCTTTTATATTTTTTTTCCAAAATATGATTGATATTTATTTGTGTAATTCATATATATATACATTTTGTATACTTTTTGGTTATATTTAATAAAGCTGATTTTGGAATTTAGCTACAAATACATGTTGCTTAACATTTTAGCTTAATACTTAAGGAAAATTTGAAATGATCAGAATTTTGAAGTTGAAGGAGAAATTATTTGACTTTTGAAAATTTATGATCAATTTTGTCAAATCTAAACCCATTGAGTGTATTTATTATTGTAGAAAAATCATATTAGCACAAAATTAAGGTTATGTTTGATTGTTTTTCACTTGATTTTTATTATTCATAAATAAAATTTTTAAAAATATCAAATCAAATAATTATTTTTTATTTTAATATTATCTTAAAATTTAATTTTATATTAAAACTACCACATTAATACATATTTATAATATATCAAATAATTATTCAAATTCATATTTTAGTATTCAAAACAAAAAATTCAGCTTTAAAATTTATAACGAAACACCAATTTTTTTTTTCTTTGTTAAAAAATGAATAGTATCAAATTATTGAAAGTTTCAATAATTTGATACTATTCATTTTTTAAAAAATCACATCAAATACATTTTTTTCTCACAAAATATCAAATCAAATACTAAATTTTTATTTTTTTTCTTTCAAACTTCCAAAATTTAAAAACTCCATTCTAAACAAATCCTCAACTTTTGACCTTATTAAACTCAATGATACTTTAAACTTTTTGACCTTATACAAACTCAAACATCAATATGAAAGTATTAGTTGTCCCTTAATAATTTATTCATTTTTTTATTTTGGTCGGTTCCTAATAAAATATTTATTTCTTTTTTTTCAGTAATTGTACTAATCTACCTGACATTACAAATACCCTTCCAATTTACAATATATATTACACAAATCTCATTACATTTATATCATACAATACTAATAGGATTAATTTAATCTTTTTATTTTTATTTCTACTTTATCTCAATATAATACTAATATTTCTAAAATTTTATGTAAAAAACAAATTGATATATACATATGAGACGGATGGAGTATTATTTTTTAATCTATATCTAACACGTTATTTAACTATAAATTGGAGTAAAAAAAAAAAAAAAGAACACACATTTGAAATATACAATGAAAAATATATATATTTTCAAAAAATACAAAGTTGAAATTGTATAATTTAAAAGAATTAAGTTAAAGAAACAAATAACCCATATTGAAAGATATCTTTTACAAATATTATATATATATTTTTGAATAGCAAAATATATCTATCGTTAATCGAACAAACAAAATATTTATTAATTAAAATTCTTTCGATCAATTAAATTAATTATGATGAATTTACATTATAATACTATTTATTTATTAACATAGAATTATAATAAAATAAATTAAATACAATATAATACTAGTTGAGTTAAGAGTGTGTTCTTTTAATAATAAAAAAAATAAAAAAAAACACATATTTTTACAAATATTACTCTCTCACTTTTCATGTTCACTTTTCCAGTTTTGTCTTGTCTACTTATTTTGTCACTTTCTATTTTTGAAAAAATTATATATTTTAATCTTATTTTAAAAACTTTAATTTATATATATTTTTTAATTTTAACTATACTAATTAATTATCTTAATTTTAATTTATAATTATTTTTATTATACGCTGAAAAGAGCCTTGTTGCTTGCTTGACCGTCAAAGAGAGGATAGGGACCCGTGGGGCAAACTTCTACCAATAACTTGTTGCCAGTTGCTCCAACTGCCCAGATCTCAGGTGCTTATTCCTCTCGATATGGCATAAGAAGAGGAAAAGGCTCCCAACGAATTCCACTGATGAAAAAGAAAAAAAGACAAGAAGACGAAAAACGATAGAAGAAAGTCTTCGTTTGACGTTTAGCATTTAGGCCGTAACATTTAGCAACAAAAAAATCTTTCACCCAATAAGTGCTCTCCGAGGGCAATACATACCAAAACCAAAAGGTTCGAAGAAGGAAAACGCAAGGTGCAGGCCACCAACCTCTCCCGCGATGACCAGGCCTAACCGCCGCACCGATCATTCAGGGGGAGGCGGGACACGAGGGCTTCCTCACGTACTCTAATTTGCCTCATGGCTTTCGAACCGATAACACGTGGGTTGTATAACATAGTATACTAGAACAAGGAGCTCCACTAAGAAGAGGTATTTTCACTGTTGCTCCCATCCAGGCTATATAACTCGGTTAAGGCATAGTATCTTTTTCACTCGCTCTTCTTTGCTTGAAATTCAAGGTAAGCAAAAAAGGGGAGGGCCGTAACGTAGCCTTGTTCTAAGGACGATGCTCAAGGGAAGGCCTACACATGTCCTGCTTTAAGTGACAGATCGGCCATAGGAGTACAGAGGGATATAAACCAGGGCAACAAAAGTTACGAAGGCGGATAAAGAGAGATCCCCATCCGCTTCAGCCGAATATTACCCTTACCTATCTTGCTTGCCGGGTTTAGATCGATTTCCTCACCGGGCGGGCATACCTCTTCCGCGCGTCTTTCTCGTGGCGGGAACAGAGGTACTCCCATGGTTCAGTGCGTCAGGTGAATTTTTGTTGGAATGTCTCAAGCGCTTTGCCAGCGGATTTACCTCTCTGTGCGTTTTGCCGCTCATTTTTTTGATCCAATTGTTTTTCGACCAATTGAGGCTCTCCCTTCACCACCCCCAGTTGGAGCTCTATAAAGACTTACATAAGCTTAGCCTTCACAAGCCCCCCCATCAAGCAAGAAGGAAGCGGGGTCAAGACGTTATCGGGCCGGCGGCGGCGGGTCGGACGGCTTTGTTTGCCCTAGCTTGGCGAATCGGCTGCTAAAGAGCTGATACCTATACCTGTTTACTTGTTCCTGATTCTTCCCTTAAACCACAAAAAAGTTACACCCTTCCCACCAGACGGAGAAACTTCCATTCCGCACTGCTGCTGAGTCGTTGGACTTATCCGACGAAGAGATTGCCACGTAAGATGTTGACTAGCTTAGAGTAAGCCGGGAACAAAAAAGGATTTGAATCCGATGGTGAGGTTAGCCCCCTATTGTTTGATCCAATATTGACTCACTAATATATTTTTAATTATTTACTAATTATATCTTTCATAAATTCTCGTGTCTAAAAAAAAAATATTTGGAACAGAAGGAGTGATAGAATGTTAATTGAGTTAAGAATGTATTATTTTTCTTTGAATGTAATGAGTATATTTTTATTAAAAATAAACAACTTTAGTTTTAATTTAAAATAGTAACCAAACATACTCAAATAAAATGTCATTTTTATTAATGCTTAAAATAAAAATAAAAATAAAAATGGTTAGATTTATTTGGACACGTATATAATCAATTATTTTTCTTGGAGAAAAAACAGAAAAAAGAAAAAAAGAAAAAAAAAAAAAAAGAAAAAGTTAAAGCTTGAATCGATAGAATAGCGATCTTTGGAAATTATTCAAGAACTTCTGTAAAATCCGTCTCTCATGTCTTCTTCTCTCCGCTTCCCAATCTGAATTTCTTACAAGTTTACGCCTTTGATCGGCGCCATCTCACTGTAATTCACCTCCATGATCTGCTGAATCGGCCGGCGAATCGGATGGTAAAATCGATTCAGTAGAACTGAGAGTTGATTCCGACAGACAGACGGCTTCATTAACCCCGCCTTAGGGTTTTCAGATTTGGAGCTCTGGGTGCCCATCAGTCGAGGCAGAGACCTCTGCCGTCGCCATCGGCAGGTGGGATATGGTTTTTCCTAAGGTCTAGTGCTCCACAGCCCCATTCTCTTCATTTTCTGCCCGAGCCACAAATGGACTTCGCCGGCCGGCAAACAACGGCGGCGCCCCCAGCTGACAACCCTCCAACTCCTTCCACGCACGCTCCGCCCCCTGAAGAGCCCGAGTATGTGGCCCGATACATGGTCGTCAAGCACTCGTGGCGAGGTCGGTACAAGAGGATTATGTGCATTTCGAATTATGCGATCATCACTTTGGATCCCAACACGCTGTCCGTGACTAATTCGTACGACGTCGGTAGTGATTTTGAAGGAGCTTCCCCGATCATTGGGAGAGATGATAATGCTTACGAGTTCAATCTCAGTGTCCGGACAGATGGCCGCGGCAAGTTTAAGGCCATTAAATTCTCGTCGAAGTACAGGGCTAGTATATTGACTGAGCTCTTTAGAATAAGGTGGAATAGGTTAGCAACTGTGGCGGAGTTTCCAGTTCTTCATTTGCGGAGGAGAACTTCTGAGTGGCTCCCTTATGTAAGTGCTTTCATATTCCTCTGACTTGTTTATGCTGTTGATTTCTTGTTCACTTTATATGATGTTTCTTTGCCTGATTTTGAGTTAGTTCATGATGCCTGGACTTTTAAGTTTGTAGGAATCCTTATTTGGATATCCGTCACATTGACATAACCTGGTTTCGGTCTTTCTTTTCGATGACCGAATGTTATCACCTTCATATTGTCTAAAGCAGAGCAGGCAGAGAAAGATATGCAGCACAATGAGAAGAGTACATATGGATATTTTCCCTTCTGGGAAAATTATTGACCATAACTGTTATATGCTTATAAACTGGGTTTGAAAACGAACGAGTAGTATTTGTTTGACGGGCTCTTGTTTTTGGGTTCGTCGGCTATATTTATCAAGTTTGATAATTGAATGACTTGGAACTTTCCTTCTGATTTGTATAATTCACTATTCATGTATTATAGAAAAACTGCAATGGAGTTTGTATGAGCTTCTTATTCTTGCTTCCGAAAATTGGTTTGAATCTTGGATTAGAGGATATGGATTATTCATATTATCGGGGGACTGTTGATTTGGAATCTTTATATCTGTTGAAATCGAGTCCCAGTGGGTGAAATTCTGTAGTACTCCATTTCAGGGCAACTAACCTGCATCAACAGATTAGAAAGCACAGATTATGTCTTGGATTCGGGATTCATAGATGATAGGATATGGGGGTGTGATGGTTATTAAAGAAGATGGTTTGTTTGTGCTTTCCAATGATCTCCCATCTCTTTACAATTAATTCAGCATAATATTGTTAAATATATAATGCCTTTTAAGCGTATGACTCAGAATTACTTTCTTCGGCTTTTGGTGCTGGGTTTCCTGCTTGCTTTGATGTTCCTGCACCACTGAGGTCTGATAAAGCATTTAGAAGCTTTTGTGCCTTCCTTCAGCTTAAACTACAAGCTCTAACTCAAATTATAATAATAATTAAAAAAAACCACAAGTTCTAACTCACATTGTCTTCATATGTGTTTATTTTCAGATGCATATGCGTTGAGTAGTTTTGTGGATATCTCTGCATTGTTAATTTGGCTTTCTTGTCCCTAATCTAACTATTTTGATTGTGACTATCTTGTTGGGAAGTGCAAAAACCCTTTTAAGCAAAATCTTGCCGTTGTATTTCCTTGCTTGCTTTATATATATATATATATATAGGGACTGATGATATTTTATGTTAGCAAATATGTTATTACTTCTGTCTGAGTACCAAATTTGCATGTATGAGATGCCTTATTAGAATTTTAGTTTAGATTCATTTGGTGATATGGGCGTTTAACCAAGCATTCCCTAGCAGGATAATGAGTATGGAGTTTGATACTAGTATAATCTGTTGTAGCTGCTGAAACCCAGTGATAATCCATATAGGATTTTTTTTTATGTTATAAGCATTTTCGTCGACGCATAAAGAGACACTTGTGAAATAATATTGCACAGAATTCTTTCTGAGGCCCTATAGATTATTGCTCCTTTTCCGTCCTTTTTAGATTACAGGCATTCTGAGTTGAATGCTGTATCTTTTGCCTTAAACGTGTACCAGTGATGTATCCTTTCATTTCTGAACTCTGAAGCATAGGGAACAGTGGTTTGGACTAAATATAGTTGTGTTTGTGAATATGCTAAAGATGACGACGTTATCACATGGGTCATGGGGGATTATTTTAATCGACTAATGGTCACTTAGTTTTTAACATATAATTTTTGGGAGCTGGTTGGTCACTCTTACCACAACCAAGAACATCTATGAATAAACAAATACTTATGTTCATATTTGTTATTTACTGCAACTGTAACTTGTATTTTTGACTTATGTAGCTGACATGATCTTCTATGTTAAATCTATGCAATTGTTGTAGCATTTATTTTCTGTCTTTGATGCAGAAAATGAAAGTTACTTGTGTTGGCATTGAAGTGATAGACATGAAATCTGGAGACCTCCGTTGGTGCTTGGACTTCAGAGATATGAATTCTCCAGCTATAGTTCTTCTCTCTGATGCATATGGAAGGAAGAATGTTGACCATGGGGGATTTGTTCTTTGTTCTTTGTATGGAAGGAAATCCAAAGCTTTCCAGGCTGCTTCAGGAACTTCAAATGCTGCCATCATTTCAAACATAGTATGCAATCTATGTTCTTTGCACTAACATCATGTCTCTTCTTAATAAGAGAAGAATAGTTTGCCGTGTCCTTGATAACAGCTAACTATGAATTAATTTGTTAAGTTATAGGAACTACTTTGTATAGGCTTTGTAAACTGTTCTGCAGCATTTGATTATCATACTCTAAACCAGCCTGAGTTAACATTATTTTATGTTCCAGACTAAAACTGCAACTTCTATGGTTGGGGTTTCATTAACTGTTGATAGTCGTCAATCACTTACGGTTTCCGATTACATCAAGCAAAGGGGTAAGCTTTAACATTGGGAGTAGATATTGTTCAAATATTTAATGCTTCAAGGTTTGTTTTTCTGATGGGCTTTGCATTTTTAACATGTTTGACTTTCAACACAACTAAATTGTAGCCAAGGAAGCTGTGGGTGCAGTAGAAGCTCCTCTTGGTGAGTGGTCTGTTACGAGGCTGCGATCAGCTGCTCATGGAATGGTTCATTCTACTGGATTGAGTCTGGCAATTGGACCCAAAGGAGGTCTTGGGGATTCCGGTGATGCTGTCTCCCGTCAGCTTATTCTTACCAAAGTTTCACTTGTGGAAAGACGCCCAGAAAACTATGAGGTAAACATGCTTTAAATTGTTATGAAATGCACTTTTAGTGGAAGTTGTTTTGCAAGCCTTTAGATACTTCTGATTTTGACATAATTCACCCAATGGAGGGTGCTGTTCCCTGCATGAAGAGATGAGCTACCCAAACCTTGTGGTACTTACCTTTATATACAATTTAAAACTGATTTTTCACTTGAAGAAATAGTAATTTGGATGATTGTTCAAACTTGGTGAAAGGAAGGTTGGTCCAGCCCCTTTGTGAATTACCATCTGTTTGTTTATCCTTCATTCCTGTCATGTGGGTGAGGCTTTTTTTTTAAAAGAAATTGTTGATTTCTCACTCCTTTTGCTGGTTGGTGGAGGGGTATCTTGCCCCATGCTTTCATGTTCGATGGTGTTTCTCTTATTTGTTACCTTGCATACGGTCGTTAATTTGGTTATTTATATTAAATTTGGGGCAAAAAATACATACGGTCGCCTGAACTAGACAATACATGGATTCTTTATGGTAAGTTAAGCTAAAAGTAAAAAAAAATTAAGGTGTCATTTGGCATGCTGGAGTTTCTAAATTTCTGTGCAGCTGACACTTCCAGTGAATTTCCCAATTCACAGCTTTAGTTGGTTTGTAATCCTGTTAACTGCATTGTGCTCTGAATTATGATGGAAGTATTGGTAGTTAGTGAATTTCATTATCCTTGATTACATGCAGGCTGTTATCGTCCGGCCTTTATCTTCAGTTGGTGCTCTTGTTCGATTTGCTGAAGAACCACAAATGTTTGCTGTTGAATTTAATGATGGATGTCCTATTCATGTGAGTGTTTTTTTTATTACATTATGTTTTGTTTGTTAGAAAGGATTCAAAATATCGTTTCTGACTTGTGATAATTCAATTACAGGTGTATGCTAGCACATCCCGTGATAGCTTGCTTGCAGCAGCTTTGGATGTTCTGCAAACTGAAGTATGTTATATGATTTTATTGAAAACCTTGGTTTTTAATGGTTTTGATTGATTCTCACTTCATACACTGCCTATTACTTCTGTATGTTAAGTTGTTTTGGCAAATATTCACAGGAAATTATTTGGATTTATGATTTAATTTTGCATATACGTACAATTCATGGTTGGCAAACATTGATTTCTCATTAGCACAATATCTTGTGTAATGTTATGGCGTTATGTTGGCTTGTGCAGGGGCAGTGTCCGGTGCCCATATTACCAAGGCTAACTATGCCTGGTCATCGGATTGATCCTCCTTGTGGTAGAGTTTATTTGCAGTATCCTCAATTGCTGCACCGTCCTGTTGCGGACATGGAAACTGGAACAATGCATTTGAAACACTTGGCAGCAGCTGCTAAAGATGCTGTAGCAGAAGGGGGATCTATTCCTGGTTCCAGAGCTAAATTGTGGCGCAGGATAAGAGAATTTAATGCATGTATTCCATTTAGTGGAATTCCTCCTACTATTGAAGTTCCAGAGGTGACATTGATGGCATTGATTACATTGCTTCCTGCTGCTCCTAATCTTCCACCAGAATCCCTTCCTTTGCCACCACCTTCTCCTAAAGCAGCTGCTACTGTGATTGGTTTTGTTGCATGCCTGCGCAGGTTACTTGCATCGAAAAGTGCTGCATCCCATGTGATGTCATTTCCTGCTGCAGTTGGAAGAATCATGGGCCTGCTTAAAAATGGTTCTGAAGGAGTAGCTGCTGAAACAACCGGACTTATTGCTATGCTTATTGGTGGTGGTCCGGGAGATTCAAACGTTTTATCAGATACAAAAGGAGAACAACATGCAACAATCATGCATACCAAATCTGTATTATTTGCTGAACAAAGTAACCTAATTGTCCTTGTCAATAGATTAAAATCAACCTCTGTCTCTCCATTATTATCAATGGCAGTCGTTGAAGTTCTTGAAGCTATGATTTGTGAACCACACAGTGAAACTACACAATACACAGTCTTCGTTGAACTGCTCCGCCTTGTAGCTGGATTGCGCCGTCGCTTATTTGCTCTGTTTGGGCATCCAGCTGAAAGTGTCCGTGAAACAGTAGCAGTAATAATGCGTTCAATAGCTGAAGAAGATGCTGTTGCAGCAGAATCAATGCGGGATGCTGCATTGCGTGATGGTGCACTGCTGAGGCATTTGTTACATGCATTTTACCTACCTGCTGGTGAGCGACGTGATGTCAGCCGGCAGCTTGTGGCTTTGTGGGCGGATTCTTATCAACCAGCTCTTGATTTGTTATCTAGAGTTCTTCCACCTGGACTGGTTGCTTATTTGCACACAAGGTCAAATGAAAGTTTAGCTGAAGATACATCTAATCCGGAGGCTTCTTTGATGAGCAGAAGACAGCGGCGTTTACTTCAACAGAGAAGAAATCGACTGGTTAAAGGAATACCATCTCAAGGGCAAAGTACATCTGCTGCTAATGATTCTGAAGGCATTGCACAAGCTGCACAGACAAGTGGTTATGTCTTTCGAGGTTCCGATAATTTTCAAGCCATGGCTGGTGATCCAAATGGCGGACAGGTTCCTTCTGTTCGCCCACTTCCTAATTCTGGTGAGAACTTTTCTAATGAGCATTCTGCTGTAGGGGTTCCTCCAAATGATCATGCTTCACTTATGGCTTCCCATGATAACTATGCAATCCGTGTTGGTGAATCTATTGAAACTGAGGCAACAAGTACATGTGACACCAATATTGGTACATCTGGTTCTCAGATTGATGATCTTCCAGCTCCAGCACAAGTGGTAACTGAGAATGCACAAGTGGGTTGTGGAAGATTGCTATTAAATTGGCATGATTTTTGGCGAGCTTTTGGTCTTGATCACAACCGTGCAGACTTGATCTGGAATGAGCGAACTAGACAGGAGTTAATGGAGGCTTTGCAGGCTGAGGTTCATAAACTTGAGCATGAGAAGGAGCGGACTGGAGATATTGTTCCTGGAGGTACATCTAAGGAAGCTATTAGTGGACAAGAAATTGTGCCTCAGATATCGTGGAACTATAGAGAATTTTCTGTTCGGTACCCCAGCTTGGCTAAAGAAGTTTGTGTGGGTCAATATTATCTTCGATTGCTGCTTGAGAGTGGAAACAATGGTAGGGCACAGGACTTTCCATTACGTGACCCAGTGGCCTTTTTCAGATCACTTTATCATCGATTCCTCTGTGATGCGGATACTGGACTGACAGTTGATGGTGCTATTCCTGATGAAATGGGTCCCTCTGATGATTGGTGTGATATGGGAAGATTAGATGGATTTGGAGGAGGAGGAGGTTCGTCTGTGAGGGAGCTCTGTGCAAGGGCTATGGCTATTGTTTATGAACAACATTGCAACGTAGTTGGCCCATTTGAAGGCACTGCACATGTAACAGTACTCTTGGACAGAACAAATGATAGAGCTCTGCGACATCGCCTCCTTCTCCTTTTGAAGGTAAATAGCTGTGTTGCTCCTTGCATGTTGGTTGGGTGATTAAAGCAAATATAATTTGGTTATTGCAGTCAAATTAAATGGTTAGTGGGATTGCTGATGCGTTTTCTAGTTGACTTTATATGATCCTTTTGCTGTGGGCAAGTTTGATTGAAGTAATTGGTAATCATTTTATTGTTGATTTTGGTTCTGCATTGGATGGATGTAGAGGCATTGAATATTATTTTGGCTGAAATAAGTGTTACAAGTTCTGAATTAAAATCCTTAAATCTAAGGTGATGAAATTTGTTTTCAAGATTGAAGCTTGCTGCTACTCTTGAGTGTATAATATCTTGGAAGGTTAATTGTATATTCATGTTCAAATTCCCCTTCCATTAGTGAGAGCTGGTTATAACTTATACCCGACAGTCTTGTCTCTTCTTTAACCGCTTAACCTACAATTTTTGTGAAGCTCCATTGTTGTGAAATGTTAGATGCCTTTAGACAATAGGTTTCTATCCAGATTAATATATACTAAGTATGGTTTATGTTTGGTAGGTCTCAACAATTATGGTAGTGTTATATAATACTATTGTTATGAACATTTATTTCTTTGTTCTTGTTCCTAACATTATAACTTTATGTGAATGGTGTATCATTATGAAGTAAATGTTTGTTATGAATGGTGTATGATTGTGCATAAACGATTGATCTCTGCCTACTTAATCTCAAATGACTCCTCTCAGGAACAAGTTCGGCAGATCAAACAAGATCCCTATCCTAAAATTGTGGGTGTGTGCTATAAGGGTACAAATTGGAATACTAGATTTTATGATATATTTAGTTCTTGCATTTAGATTTGATTTTGCCTACCATGTTTTTGCATTTAATCCCTAACCATTTTATATATTGAGAGGATAATCATAAAATGTAAGGAAGTGCATTCTAATTTGTATGTGTCATCTTAAACTTACTGATACAAAGGTACATTTACATTAATCATCTGGAACCTTACTCCTGTGCATGGAGACAAAACTTGATTCTGATTCTTTCTTTCAGGCAAACAAAAATAAATATATAAAACATGTTTGAGTTTTGATTTTGATTTTTACCTTCTTTTTATCATTTTTTCCTTGTGAAATGAAGTTATTTTTGAAGAATTATGTGTTGGTCGAATAATGTTCCACGTGAGGTAATATTTGAGTGATGTCCGAATTTGGATATTTGTGTGTGAAAGAGAATCTGTTTTTGAAGAATATGGGTTTCTTTGTTTGTGGTCTGAGATTAATCTCTACTTATCATTTTTCCCTTAAAAGCATCACATCAATCATGTATTTTCCATTAAAAATGTTGCATCAAAAATTCATTTCTTTTCTAAGCATCATCTATTTCAGTTCAAAATTTTATTATTTTCAAACCACCAATCATAGCTATTTGCTTTCCTAAATGAAATTTAGAATACTGCAAAGTGTTTATTTGTGTTTTGGTGTTTTGGGTTTTGAAGATTTTATTTAGTTGTTTTATGTGATATTTTGAATGAAAAATGAGTGTTAAAAATGTTATGTTGGGGGAGGGGGAGGGGGAGGAGGAGGGTAGGAATAGTAATTTGAATAGTTCAAAAAATGGAAGCCTAACACAAGTAAGCACAGCTGTAAAATGGAATAAGAATCGAAGCAACCATACCCATTATTTTACTGATTTCAACTTTTATAGTTATTTAAATATTTGGATTTCAGTTGTGGTGTTTAGGTTTAAATATTAGTTTGGACATGATGTTTTATGAGAGAAAATAGTGTATTTTTATAAGAACTCCCGAGGGTTGAATAGTAGAAAAGGTGAAAAAAATTGCCAAGTGAAGACACTGTTTATTTCTGTGGGAAAAGTGTGTGAAGTAAGCATGCTTTAGTTTTTGGCACTTCCTCAGATAATGATGTGATAGTAAAAGGGGGGTAACTTTTGGTTTCTAAGGTGCCTATATACAGATAGAAAATATATTTATATTCATTTAGTTGCCAGTGTTTTATATATGTTATACTTTGAATTTCAATAGAGGAAATGATTGGATATATATCTGTATACATATATATGTATTTTACTGGAGATATAAAAGTAGAGAACACTATATTAATTTGTTGCTGTATGTTTTAAATTTTATGTGTGTGTATTCCGAGGGGAAAGAGTGGAAAACGTACTTATCCTAACCCTGCTTGTAGCATGGTATAGTTTAGGGGTACCACTAGAAAAAATTGTTATTTCCAGCCTTTGGGATCTTACTTCTATGGCAGACTTTCTTACACAGCACTGTTTCTTTCAGCAATGTTATTTGTATTTTAAAAACTTATTTTCTTATCAGGAAACTTACTTGAGGGAATCATTTATGTTCTTGTTTGTCATCCTTTCTGTTATTTCTCCCCATGGACATCCGATAACAAATATTTTTGTACATGACCACGACCATCAAGATTTTCAATAAGTTGAACCTCCTCATTTAGCTACTTGAAAGATTTACAGCCCCTATTTTCAGATTTGTGAGTTAGAAATACATCAGTTCTGGTGAACCTGCACCTTATAGATCTGGATGAATCATAACATCAAGTTAATGATGAGTGTTTATGCTTATTGAGCTAGTTCTGTACATTTGCAGGTTTTAATGAATGTATTACCAAATGTGGAGGCTTGTGTCTTGGTTGGAGGATGTGTGCTTGCTGTTGATTTATTAACCGTGGTTCATGAAGCAGCAGAAAGAACCGCTATACCATTGCAGTCCAACTTAATTGCAGCTACTGCTTTTACGGAGCCATCAAAGGAATGGATGTACATGGGCAAGGAGAACACTCAAGCTGGCCCAGTGGAGAAGGATGCACTTAGAAGACTTTGGTCTATAAAAGAAATTGATTGGACAACGAGATGTTGGGCATCTGGGATGCCAGACTGGAAGAAGCTACGGGACATACGTGAACTCCGTTGGGCGATGGCTGTTCGAGTCCCTGTTCTAAATCCCATCCAGGTATTGCATAGTTGGAAAAAGCAAATTAATACCTATATATTCTTCATACCGTCCACACATTTATATCACATTTATGGTATAGTAACATTGATTGAATTGATGAATGTATGAAATTTGCATGGTATATTAAGAGTCAGTAAGCTAGTCTATACATGTTGTGTGTGTGTGTGAAATACGATTTTACACGGTATCACAAGGTAATAGCTAAATATGTGGTTTGTGTTGTTTATACTGGGTTATGTTTTTTTTAATCAAATTTATACTGGCTTACATCTGTTCATAGTAACATTTGTTTGATATAATCCTGATGAAAGGGTGATTTGTAATATTTAAATTTAAATTTGTCTTAGGACGGGAACAAAATAAATTCACTCAATTGAAGGGTACAAAATACCATTAGGTGACCTGATTTTGTAGTATTTTGTACGAGTTTCTATGCTACTATTTAAGAGACTAGGGGTGCTAATGATTTAGCAAACTTCTTCAAAAATTGAGGTGCTCGGGGTAGTGGAGCTTCTAACTGGCAATTGCTATTGTAAGACTGTGGATCTACTCCACCGCCCCCCCTCCAAACAAAAAGAAACTACTATCCAATTGTAATTATCCCAAATATATTCTCTAAAGGCACATTAAAAAACAAACTTCAATTTTGGGGAAAGAAACAGAAAAAAGAAAATTCGGGTGTGTTTAGCTATGTTTTGGATATTCTAAATTGCTTTTTACATGGTAAAAAGTGGAATAATAAATAGTTATTTTTTTATGTGATTTATACAAGTGGAGGATGTAATGTTTTGAATAGAGAATAGGATTTTCTATGTATATTTTAAATTAAAAAATAGATATGATGTTTTTTAGAGAGATGATAAATAGTGTGAAAAAAAAGAGTTGAAAACATAAATAAAAAGATCCATAATCTTGTTCATTCCTTCACGTCAAATCGGTTGCTTTCTTGTAAATTAGTGATAGTTAAATTGAAGGCCAAACTTTTAAAAATTGCTATTTTATGAGTTGGGTTTCTCCGTGTACAAGTGTCTTTCTTCCATTGTTTTAGATTTCGAAATATTGTTTAAATCAAAATCTACTGTTGGACTAAAGTATAATCAGAAGGGAGGGAGTAAAGCATTCCTGATTTCCTTCCATAATGGATATGATTTCTGATGTTTCACTGATGAGTGCGTGCTGTGTATAGGTTGGAGAGGTAGCCTTGTCTATTTTACACAGCATGGTAGATGCACATTCAGATATTGATGATGCAGGAGAGATCATTACACCAACACCTAGAGTAAAGCGAATTTTGTCAAGCCCACGATGTCTTCCACATATAGCACAGGTAAATGTCATCCATACCTTCCTTTTTTGTGCTGGGAAGGAGATAGTTTGATGGTGATTCAGCTATACTTATTTTTTCGTAGTAGCAGGGTTTATTGCTAAATCTTATTCATGTATCCACTGCCATATGTTGGTTAAAAAGCTACACAGTATTTTTAATAACTGTTTTCTTGTCCTGAGCTTTGTTGTTCATTTCTGGCAGTATTCTTATTGACTGTTCTTTACCATTATATAATTGATATTACCCTTTCGACTATATGAATGAGATCAGTGGTGCTGGGGTTTCAAAGGCCTCACAATGATCTTAAAGTAAACGTGCATGTGCCAGGATAATCTTAATTTGATATTTGTAATGTTTTCATTATTTGGTTATATGCTCATTTTTAGCTGAACTTGCTGATTGCTTTATGGTAGCTCCATTAAGTATACTGACCATGCTTAGAGTTTTGCCTATGCATTGAATTCTTTATTCTGTTATCTTGTATACAGGCAATGCTTTCTGGTGAACCAACCATTGTTGAAGCATCTGCTGCTTTGTTGAAGGCCATTGTTACTAGGAATCCAAAGGCAATGATCAGATTATATAGTACAGGCGCATTTTTTTTCGCCTTGACGTATCCTGGTTCCAATCTTAATTCGATTGCCCAGCTTTTCTCAGTGACTCATGTTCATCAAGCTTTTCATGGTGGTGAAGAGGCAGCAGTTTCCTCTTCTCTACCTTTGGCAAAACAAAGTGTTTTGGGAGGGCTCTTACCCGAGTCATTGCTCTATGTGCTGGAACGTAGTGGGCCAGTTTCTTTTGCTGCAGCAATGGTTTCTGATTCTGATACCCCTGAGATCATCTGGACGCACAAGATGCGTGCTGAAAATCTTATTCGCCAGGTACTCCCAAATAGTCACTCGGGTTTGGTTTTGCTCTCCGTGTCCCTTTTCTGTTAATGTACTGCATTGAAATTTAGGGAGTGTCTCTTGCTCATAATATAAAATCTAATGCTGAGTTAAGGCCAAACCTTTTTTTTGGCCTTTTTTCTTCAGGTTCTTCAGCATCTTGGCGATTTCCCTCAGAAATTGTCGCAGCATTGTCACTCTTTATATGATTATGCTCCAATGCCACCAGTGACATATCCAGAGTTAAAAGATGAAATGTGGTGTCATCGTTATTATCTCCGGAACTTGTGTGATGAAATTAGATTTCCTAATTGGCCTATAGTTGAACATGTTGAGTTTTTGCAATCATTGCTAGTCATGTGGCGAGAAGAGATAACTCGAAGGCCAATGGATCTTTCTGAAGAAGAAGCTTGTAAAATACTGGAGATTTCAATTGACGAAGTATCCAGAGACGATGCACCTAAGAAACCAAGCTTTGAATCAACTGAGGAAATTCCCAATAGATCAAAGCAGATTGAGTACATTGATGAAGAAAAGCTCAAGAGACAGTATAGGAAACTTGCAATGAAGTATCATCCAGACAAAAACCCTGAAGGGAGGGAGAAGTTCCTGGCTGTGCAGAAAGCTTACGAGTGCTTGCAGGTATGAGCAGCACCTTGATCTTGTGTAGCATTTTGTCCATACATGTTAGCTAACATGACTAAGGTTGAAGGATAAGTAACATTTAGACTGGAATTTCATAATCTACTCGTTCATAATTGAAATGTAATTCATCAATTTGTGGGTACATTTATGGGTTTTCACAATAGTGATGCTGGGTAGACTATCACGCATTTTATCTAAGATGGATTAGGATCTCCAGCTACCATATAGATTTCCAAGATATTTGGGACCTTGATGCATTTTGCAGATTGTAATTCAATACTAAAATCTAATTAAGAAAATAGCCTAGTTATAATGAACATTTATTGTTAACAAGGCAGCAGACTATTTTGCAAAGCAAGGTGCTTGGAGTGGTAAAGAGCTTCTATTCAGCTTTATTATGTTTCTCTTGTTCCTATGGCCCTAAGGCTTCTGCAACTCTTTTTCTTTTCTTTTTTAAATAAAACCATCTCTCTCTTTGTAATAATAATAATAATGGAAAATAAATAAGCAACTAGCTTGTATGAACAATAATCACAGGGATCTTCCGGGACGTTTTGTCTTTTGAAAAGTCTACCACAAATGTCATGGATAATACCTCTATATGGTTGCCTCTAACTGATTTAGTGAATGGTTTATGGCTGTGCTAATCAAGACAAGTCCAAAATTTAACTATATAAGAAATCCTTGAGATTTGTCTTGGAAGCGATTTTTCATCTGTTAATTAGTAAAATCTGTCAGCTTACCTTTCTTCATTTGCTACTGATTTAATTTTCTGATTCTTCTCACTTAGGTAACCATGCAAGGGTTGCAAGGTCCCCAAACTTGGAGACTGTTACTTCTCTTGAAGGGCCAATGCATTTTGTATAGGCGATATGGGGAGGTGCTGAGGCCATTCAAATATGCTGGTTACCCAATGCTGTTAAATGCCGTTACTGTTGACAAAGAAGATAACAATTTTCTTTCTTCTGATCGGGCACCTCTTCTAGTTGCAGCCTCAGAGCTTGTTTGGTTGACGTACATTCACTGTCTTCCTCAAATATTCATTTTGTTCTTTGTTTACAAGTATTGAAATGCATTTAACTATGCTCTGTATATATAACCATTTTCAGATGTGAGTCATCTTCACTGAATGGCGAGGAGCTTGTGAGGGATGGTGGAATACCTCTTCTTTCTGGTCTTCTTTCCCGCTGCATGTTTGTTGTTCGACCTACAACTCCAGCTAATGAACCATCAGCAACTATTGTTGCTAATATATTGCGGACCTTTTCAGTTTTGAGCCAATTTGAAAGTGCAAGAACTGAGATGCTTGAATTATCTGGTTTAGTTGAGGACATTGTTCATTGTACTGAGCTCGAGCTTGTGTCTGCTGCTGTTGATTCTGCCCTACAGACAATTGCTCATGTTTCTGTGTCTTCGGAATTTCAGAATGCTCTTCTGAAGTCTGGTGTTTTGTGGTATGTGAGATTGTTATTTCATTGTTATTTGTGTAATTACTTATTTATTGATAGCTGGAGATTAGATTTCAGCTTTATAAAGTGCTTAGAACACTAAAATGTTACACTATAAATTATTTATATCATGTTCAGTCGACCTTGTTCTTTACCTATTTCGGTTTTCTCTCAACCCAGCTCCAAAGGAGATTATGTGTTTGTGTGTGTTTCTTTTTCTCATTTTTTGGCACTTAATATCATTTCAATTTCTAATGTTAAATGTCTTCCGTTCCTTTTTTTGAAGGAAGAAATTCATTTTTGTAGTTTAGAGCAAAAACATAGGAGGCAATAGATGAACATTATTGACTATAGATGAAAATGAATATGTTCTTTTCTCTAGCTGCTTTGTCCACACCACTATTCCTTTCCGGTCATTCCTTGCATCTATAAATTTGTAAGAAAATTCTATTGTGCTTATGAAGTTAATGCATTTTTCTGTTTGAAATGAAATTATTGGACTGACTTGTGAAGTTCATCTATATTGGCTGTTCTTGGAAATAAATTGCTTTATGAGTTGTAATATGTGAAAATATGCTCTTATCAAAGCGACATCAGCTCCTTCAATCCCTTTACTTCTTGTCAAAGCTACTCTATTCTTTTTGAACGCCACTCTTAATTGTTAAGGAGTTATCTAGGTAAATATATTGAAACTGGAGGATCTCTTCCCTTTGTGCAGGTATGTTGTACCATTGTTGCTTCAATATGATTCAACAGCAGAGGAATCAGATAAGGCAGATACTCATGGTGTTGGAACTAGTGTTCAAATAGCTAAAAACTTACATGCTGTACATGCATTCCATGCTTTGTCAAGGCTCAGTGGCCTGGGCAACTGTGAAACCCCAATACCCTATAATCAGGCTGCAGTTGAGGCTCTTAGAAATATGCTAACTCCGAAACTAGCTAGCATGCTGAAAGACAAGTTGCCTAAAGACCTCTTGTCCTCATTGAACTCTAACCTGGAGACTCCCGAGGTAAAAATGACTACATTTATTTGTATAAATAAAGCATCTAAAACTCTTTTTGCATAGATATCTTACATGTCTATTACTTAAAAGTTTAGATCATGTAAGATGCTTCATTTCTCATTAGAGTTATTCTGTATTTCTTGCACGTAGTTTTTTTCGGTTAAAAGGAATAGATTGGAAATAGAAACAAACCTGTCATATATTTACATGTTTGTGTTATTGGAAGAGCTTAAATATGTATTCATAATTCTTCTAGTCCTTGATTACTTGGTACAAGATTTTGATGAGCATTGTTTGGGTCATCAATTCTTTGAAAAAAATCCAATTGTACGCTAGAGTTTGCCTTTTGAGTTAGTAGTTTCTAACAAGTAGTACACGCTGTGTGAAGGATTTCAGCAGTATGTGGACCCTATTTTTTTTGGGCAACATTTGTTCTGAAATTTTTTCATAGTGCATTTATCTTTACATGGATAAGCTATTTGTTCTTCCATGGGTCTATCCCACTTGAGAAAGCTCAATTTATTGATGATATGACAACACCAACTTCGATGTAATTGTTTGTTACATGTTTTCTGAAGTTACTGAGTAGCATAGCAGGATTTCTTTCTTATTGTTGTTTACTTATTTATATGTACTTGATGGTTCTATATTTTTCATTTAACATACATTATATTTCTAACGGAGATTGGAAACTAAATAAACTATTAAAATTTGGAGTCAACTCAGTGAAGAACACAAAACTATGGAATGGTATGATGTGGTTTGGCTATTAGGCGTACATCCATGAATAGAATGAATAAGAAATAAGCTAGAAGCATTTCTTATTTGAATTGGTGTTGATACGATGTCGAGAGAATGAAGTGAGAAAAGCAAGAGAAAGCGGGGAATCGACATAGTTCGATTGTTATGCCTACATGATGTCCAAAAAGGCCAACTATGTTAATACTGTGGCTTGACTATGGTGAATGAGTATTTGTATTGATAGTGAATGATAAATAAGATGGGGGACCAATAGCTAAATTGATTTCATGGATTTATCATGGTCTGTCTTGTAGATAATCTGGAACTCTTCCACACGAGGAGAACTGCTGAACTTTGTTGAGGAGCAGCGAGCAAACGTCGGTGATGACGGTTCATTTGATCTGAAAGATGCACACTCTTTTGGTTATGAAGCATTATCTAAAGAGCTCTACATTGGCAATGTATACTTGAGAGTCTATAATGATCAACCAGATTTTGAAATCACTGAACCCGAGGGTTTCTGTCTTGCACTTGTTGATTTTATATCACACCTGGTGCATAATGCAGAAGCTTCTAGCGTTGATACTTACGTGAATGGTGATGTAACTTCTGAATCATCTGAGAAGCAGCCTTCTTCAGACAAACCTTCAGAATCTGATGATGGAAAAGTCACTAATTCGGAGAATACTGAATTAGTCAAGAATCTTCAATATGGCTTGATATCCCTTCAGGTATAGCTATTTTTGTGTTGCTTATTTTTTAGCATGTACATGGCTGTTCTAATATCTGTTCTCCAATTTCAGAACTTGTTGGCGAAGAATCCGAATTTAGCATCAGTGGTTTCCACGAAAGAAAAACTGTTGCCCCTTTTTGAATGCTTTTCACTTTCTGTTGCTTCAACCAGCAATATACCTCAGCTTTGCCTAACTGTATTATCACGCCTGACAACCTATGGCCCATGCCTGGATGCAATGGTTGCGGATACCTCCAGTCTGCTTATTTTATTACAAATGCTACATTCATCTCCGACTTGCCGCGAAGGTGCATTGCATGTTCTCTATGCCTTAGCAAGCACCCCTGAGCTTGCTTGGGCAGCTGCAAAGCATGGTGGCGTGGTCTTCATTCTTGAAGTTCTCTTGCCAGTAAAAGGTATAGGCAATTCCATGCATTCTCTTTCTTCGAAAGCTTGTTACACTTCTAAATGAAAATTTATTGTGTAGAAGAGATCCCTTTGCAGCAGAGAGCAGCTGCCGCCTCGTTGTTAGGAAAGCTTATTGGACAGACGATGCATGGGCCTAGAGTAGCAATAACTCTTGCAAGATTTTTGCCTGATGGTCTTGTCTCAATAATCAGGGACGGTCCAGGTGAAGCAGTTGTGAATGCTCTTGAACAAACTACAGAAACTCCTGAACTTGTCTGGACTCCAGCTATGGCTGCATCCCTATCTGCGCAAATAGCAACAATGGCTTCAGATTTGTATCGGGAACAGGTGAAAGGGCGTGTGGTTGACTGGGATGTACCTGAACAGGCCTCTGGACAGCAGGAAATGAGGGATGAGCCACAGGTCTAACTAATGTTTGGTTTATTGGATACATTCGAGGAGCTTTATATGTGTTTTGTGACTTAGATTGCCTGTTATTGTTCAGGTTGGAGGAATCTATGTTCGGTTGTTCCTGAAAGATCCTAAATTTCCACTTAGAAATCCCAAGAGATTTCTTGAAGGGCTCCTGGATCAGTATCTTACATCCATTTCAGCTTCGCATTATGAGGGCCAAGCTGTTGACACTGAACTTCCACTTCTACTTTCGGCTGCCCTGGTCTCTTTACTCAGGGTGTATCCTGCTCTCGCGGATCATGTTGGATATCTTGGGTATGTACCCAAGCTTGTGTCTGCCGTAGCTTTTGGAGCAAGCAGAGAAACAATGGCTTCAGAACCCTACGACTCTGAGGATGGTTCGCATCAACAAACTCCTCAAGAACGTGTCCGGCTCAGCTGTCTACGAGTTCTACATCAGCTTGCAGGTAGCACTACGTGTGCAGAAGCTATGGCAGCCACTAGTGTTGGGACCCCACAGGTATCCAGTGTTTACCAATATTTAGCATGTAATATCTAATATATTTGATTAAACATTTGTAATGATCATACTGTACTGATGGTTTTATTCCAGGTGGTTCCACTTTTGATGAAAGCTATTGGTTGGCAAGGAGGAAGCATCCTTGCGCTTGAAACTCTAAAGCGTGTCGTAGGTGCTGGAAACCGAGCCAGAGATGCACTTGTTGCTCAGGGACTCAAGTAAGTATATATCTTTTAAACGAGTGATAATTATGTTGCAATTGAACTGTAGATTCTAGGATCAAGGAAATAATAATGTGCGCAATTGTTGATGCGTCAGATAATCTATGTGGTATATCTATTCTGAGATGCTATAGATGGTTCCCTTTATTTTTTTGCTTTTGATATAAATGGTTCCTTGGCTGGCACATGATTTTGCAATTAACTCAAATTACTGGATCATACAACAATGGTGTGAGATTTGATCTGCATGCTATTTGGTTGTGCTTGTTCGAACGGTTGCCTATTGCATTCATCTGACACTGTATTCTATTGGTGAAGGGTTGGCCTTGTGGAGGTACTTCTTGGTCTTCTTGATTGGCGAACTGGGGGAAGAAGTGGGCTTCGTTCGCAAATGAATTGGAACGAATCTGAAGCATCAATTGGTCGGGTGCTTGCTATAGAGGTTTGTACCATTGTGTGAACTCATAGTCTTCATTACTTTCAAGATTAATTTTTTTTTTGTTTTAGATAAACAAAAAAATAAAAAAAATTCTTGTGCTATCAGACTAAACACCCCGTATCCCTGTTACAATAAATATATTAACAAAAAAACTCTTTAAACACAAATAAAGATATCAGGCATAATATGTTGGTCAAGGGATGTATAGTTAGTAAAAAGACGTGCACTGTTCCTGAACAGCGATTTTTGAGATGTAATTGATACATCTAATTAAATATATTTAATTGCATTATGATATATATTACCACAGGATCAATCAAGTTCTCGAGTATTAAGAAAGCAGTATTATATGTTTAGTTCATTAGAGTTAAAAGTTGGATTATATATTAAAATGAACAGGACGAAGAAGTTTATGATTAATAATATTCTAAAAGCTTTATGAGATTTTGTTTGTTACTATTTACTAATATTATACATATTCCAAGTCTAATGGGGGGTCCTGTTGAGGCAGATTTATTTTTTGATATATAATATAAGTACTGAGTTTGTAATAAAATATTAAAAAAAAACACTTGTCATTTTGACCTTGTAGGATGTGAAGAGATTCCTGTTTATATTTTTGTTGCATTTCCTTTATTTGAATAAGATATATGCTTCGTAACAACTACTGAGAACTTGCAAATAACTTTTATTTCTAACAAATGCAACAAAAATAGCTGAATGCTTTTTGCATTATGTTCCACTTTTGTTTGTTCGTGCAGGTTTTGCATGCATTTGCCACAGAAGGGGCCTATTGCACCAAAGTGCGCGACATATTAAATTCTTCTGATGTAAGTTGACTCCCTTCATGCTTATTCTGCACAATTACTGAATATGATAATTTTCATGATTCTTAAGAATAAAATGGTGTCGAGAACCATTCTCATAACACTAAGTTTGTTTGATGCATAAATTTGCAAAGCATGCACTTTTATGTGGTTTGCCAAGTTCATATTAAATATTTTGATCATATGCTATTTTACTAACCCAAAATTTTTAGACACTTTTTATATAGAAGTTTTTGAAGTTTTTGAATTTGGAACATTTTTGGAATAATAAAAAATTATATTATAAGTGATTTTTGCGAGAGAAAAAAAGTATTTAATATGATTCTTTTTGGAAAAAGTTATGGTTGGTTTTGCATTCTAGCTTTCATGTTAAATTTATTCACTATTGTCTATGATACTCTCATGTGTCATTTAAATTTATTTGTCACTTTTCTTTATAGGTTGTCATCAAATTTTTTTTTTTTTTTTTAGTAAAAGATTATCACTTTTATGTACTTTTTTATTATAAAAAACAAAAAGTAATAATTATTACTTATTTTTATTAAAATTCGTGTCAATTTACTTGAGCATACATTTCAATGATGGAGAGAGTATAATTTTTGTAAAATTCCATCACTCCAACAGTAACTATTTTTCTCATTTTATTCACCGGGTTGGCTTTAACCTATGTTTCCTGAATCGAGAATTTTAGACAATGTGATAGTAGACGCTGGAGGCGCAGAATCTAAAGTTGAAACATTTTTTCTTAACTAATGCTCATTCTTGCTCCACAACTCGGATATGTATGCAGGTTTGGAATGCTTACAAAGATCAGAAGCACGATCTTTTTCTTCCTTCAAATGCCCAGACTTCAGCTGCCGGGGTTGCCGGCCTAATTGAAAACTCCTCATCAACACTGACATATGCACTAACAGCTCCTCCTCCACATCCAAGTTAAACAAAAGACACTGCCCATCGCAGGTACATCACATTCATGTTGGCAGTGATAATAGTAGACAAAAAAATTGTTCTGCATGAATGAACGAAAAGAGAAGGCAGTTTGATGAATACAAGCTCGATCCGTGTTGAGTGCAATTTTATTTTTTTTCCCCTTGTTGTATAGAATACTTGTACAGCTCTCCTGCTTCATCTTGCAATTTCTATGAACTCAAAAAAAAAAAACAAGAGTATACGGGCACACATGCATTGTCGATTTTGTAAATTGCCATTTGTCGTCATAATTTGGTAGGCAGGCGGGACAAGGTTTTTGATGAATGGTGTACTTGAGATCAAGTTGTGCTATGGCATGATACATACATACATTCTTGGCATTTTCTTTTATTTTTATTTTTTCAAATGTTTTTGTCGCTTGCTTTTAGGATTACTCAGTATGGTGCTGATAGCATACAGAATGTATATAGGCAACATATAAGTATAAATCACTCGAATGCGCATGATAATAGTCTATATAGTATATATTACAATTGATTGACAATCTCAATCAACACATTAACCATTTTTGCGCTTTTTGAGGCCTTGTTAGATTAGCGACCTAGTTGCCACATTGAACTCGAGTAATAGTATGGAAATCAAAGATTATAGCGTATTCGAGCTTATAAAAATGGCTTCAAGTATTTGGATTTGCATGGTGAAATTTCATATGTAGAATAATATAAAGATTCATCGAACTATGTACGAAATACATTGAAGTACATAAAACATTAGTACACTATTGAATTCTAGTCTAAAGTTTACTCCCTCCATCGAAGTTGATATTTTTGTTATTTTGATTTTATATATAAAGTAATTGTAATGATATGTTTGTAATTTAAATAAAAGTTAAAAGTGTATTTTGGTATTAGTGTATACTATTTTTACTAAAAAAAATATAGTAAGACTGTACTTTGAATCAAAACAGAATTAGTACATTGTAAATATATACTAATCAACAAAACATTATTCAAAAAAATTGTTTGAATTATGATACATAACTGTAGAAACAACCCATCAACATTATCGTATTCATACGCTAAATTTTACATCCAAAAAAAAAAAAGAAACTCACAAATGAGAAGCAAACAACCATGCGAGCAACTTCTTACGAACTAATAAGACGAAGAAAAGAGCACTGATAACCATTTCCAAACTAATAAGACGAAGAAAAAATACTAATAACCATCCAAAATTCTATCGATGATCTCAATGAACTGTTCATGGTTTGTCAGCTGAGGAAAATGCCCTTGAGTGTCGATAACTAAAACCTCACAATCCCCTTTGATTTTGCTCTTCATGTAGCTTGGAACCGAGTCGGGTACAATTATGTCGCCTCTTGTGTGAATTATATGACAAGCGGTCGTGACATTTTCAAGAACGCCACGATAGTCCCCCAAGAACACGGTCTTCGCCAAGGGAAGCGCCGCGCGCCTTCCCATTCTCTTAAGAAGGTTTGCCAATAGCTGAATTGAGATTTGATCACTCGAATCGATCACAAGGGAGGCGAAGGTCGAACTCCATTGATCGAAGTCGGATTCTATGCTCGAAAATATTTTTTCAATGCCCGACATGTCGAAACCACCTTCGTAGTCTTCCGTGTTCGCTAGCCTGCTTAGCACAATATGTTATAATTCTCGCAATTCTCTATAAAAATATGTCATTCCCTTCGTCCGCCTCTAAGGGTCACATTTACCTTTTGGGTCATTGTATTTAACATTAAAAATGTATAATTTTTTATATAAATGTATTTCTATTAGTATTATAAGACACTAATGAAAGTATTTTTGCAATTTTTTCTTAATTTGTACTACGTTTTGATATAATAATTAATATTCAAATATCAACACGCAAAAAGTAAATGGGATCCTTGGAGCCGAACGAATGTAGTATTCTTTTTATAAAATATTACAGTTAACTATATTTAAATAAATAAATAAATAATTAAAGCAAAACCAAAGTCCAAAGAAAATAAAACACTATGTATAGCTAGCCAAAATTGAATGATCTATTAATTTAAAGTTTGATTTTAGTTTACTATGTATGTTTTTCATAAAAATATATTTCTTATATTCACTAGTATTATGTCACTTTTTTTTAGCTATAAGCTTACTAAGTCAAAGAAATTATATATTTATCTATAATTATATTACCTTATTTCAATATTAATAATTATTTTGCTACTACAATTAAATTGCACCCTCACTTTTAATTAAAGTTACTTTTTACCTATTAGTTTCTTAATGAATTTCTTATTATTCTTTCCATTTTTTTTTTTTATCTACTTATTTTATAGTAAGTATTTTTATTTTACGAAGTTGTCATTATTTTATTAGTTTCCACTAATGATAGTGAGGGTTTTTTTATTATATTATTATTACATTTTAAAATTAATGAATATACTCCATTATACTTTGGTTCAAATTATAATAGGTATATGCTTACATCTTATTGTGACAAAATATATATATATATATATATATAATAATTGGATTAAGTGGCTTTAAATGATTGGCTTGATTTGGAAAAGTATAATTCGATAGAACAAAATCTATAGTATAGATGATTTTATAAATTCAATAATTTAGTGTGTTTTTTTATGTGTTTGGAAAAAATTTGGTTTGAATATGATATGAAAATAATGTTTGATTGGATGTTTTGTAAGAGGAAAAAATGTATTTTTTTTTTTTTTGGAAAAAAGCATAATCCAAATAATAAAATTTAGGGAAACTGCGGGGAAAAAAACAGATGAGTACTACAAGTGGGAAATAATTTCTTAAATTAAAATAATGAATATTACTCTATACATATTCAATAATTTTGTTATTTGTGTGTTTACTGGTAAGATATTTGATTTTTAATTTTAAATATTAAAATTTTTAATTAAAACACTTTTTATTTTACATGTATTGTTGTGATATTTTGAATATAAAATTAAATTTTAGTGTAATACAATAAATTAAAATAAATATTTGATTTAATATTTTTTTAGAAAAAAAAAATTTTAAATAGCAAAATCAAATGTCAAATTGTACAAGTAAATACACTCTTTTTTTTTTTGCATAATTTTATAATAGTATAATCTTAAAAATTCCTTTGAGGGATTTGTCTTTTCTTTATATTTAAAATTATTTTTAATTGAAATAAAGAAAATAAAAACTTGGTGTAAAAAAATATTATTAGAACATCTTAAATTAGAAATAATAATAAAAAAATTAATACTAATCAATATTTTAATAATAATACAGTTTTCAATAAACCAACTAATCGAATCAATTAATAACTAACAGCTAATCGTAGGGGTGTGCATTCAGCCGGTTCGGTTTGAACCAAACCGAACTTTCAATTTTTATCAGTTTTCGGTTTATAAACATTGAAACCAAAATCGAACAAAAGTTTTCAAAACCAGGTAAACCGAAAAAACCGAACTTTTATTTATTAATATATATTTTTAATATACAATCAAATATAAATACTCAAAATTATAATATATAATTTATTTATTTTTTTAAAGTTCGATTTTTTTTATTAACAAAAATTAAAAATTGAAAACCATAATTGAACCGAAATCAAAATTTATAAATTTAGTTTTGGACCGAACCGAAAAAAAATTCGGTTTTTTCGATTTGAACTGACCAATGCTCACCCCTAGCTAATCGAATCAGCTATCAGCTAATAACTATCAACTAATTGTCGAACACACCCAAACTAATTGCATGTGTAATGGTATATTTGTAATTTAAGTACTATTTTCATATTAGTATATAATTATTTTTATAAAATAGAAAATAAATATTTTTAAAATAAACGCATAAAATAATAATAATAAAAATAGTATTTTGAAATGAAACTAAAAAAATATAAAAAAAATACTACTATAAAAGTAATTAAAGATGAGGACCTGGGCGAGGGTCCGACGAGCACGAGTCGCCGGAAAAGGTCAGGGCGTTTGACAGAAGCTATGCATCCGATCATTCCGGCCATGGAGTGGCCGACGAACACCGCCGGCGGGACCTTCAGCTCGTCCATGACGGCGATCAGGTCGTCGGCAAACGCATCGTACGAACCGTACCGTTGGGCATCGTAGAGACCCACGCTGCCGGCGAAGCACCAGTCGAACACCACCACGCGGCTACGCGCCGCCAGCCGCGGCCCCACCTTGTCCCACACCGACTGGTCCGTACCGTAACCGTGGGCTAGAACCACCGTCTCCCCGCCGCCGCCGCCGCCGCCGCCGTAGATCCTGCAGTTCATGGCGGCGGCTAAACCCCTCTTCGAGACCATATTGCTTTCGACGATACCTTTCTTAATTAATTAAAATTAATTAATTAATTAATTGTGATGTAATATGGAAATGTGGATATATATATTTTTTTAATTTTTTTTTTTTTTCCTTTTATGAGGATTTATTTACTGTCTCTTAAGTTTTTTGCAGTTTGGGTATGCTCGTGGTCCATAGTTATATAGAAAGCGAGGGAGGCTGGTGGGGCGGGGGTAGGGGGGGTGGGGGTTGGGGGGTGATGTTACGACATCAACCAATATTTTTAAATCAATGTTTATCAATAGTAATTTAAAAAATAAATAAATAATATACATTAAATACTTTTTTATATTAAAAAACATATTGAATATCTCTTTATATCATAATAAATATTGATTTTAATGTAATTTTTTATTTATTTTAGAGTCCCACAAAATAAAGATAATATTCAATGTATTTTATAATTACATTCTCATATATTTTAGGAATTATTATATTTTTAATCTTGTATGTGATATTCTTTGATTCTTTAATTGCATATATAAAAATAATTTTATATATATTTAATCACGTATATTGATGTAACATAGTTAAAAACTGACTTGGGTTATTCATATGTCAATTTTTAGTCCAAATATTGACGTAAATTTAAATTTTTAAAAATAAGTATACAAATATGAGAAGAGTTACGGTGTTAATTTGGGTTAGCCACTATTGCTGATTTTTTAAATGAGAACACGTAAAATATAAAAGTAGCACATGTCGTATGTTTGTAATAAAAATATGAGTTATTTGTTCATAATTATTACAACGTATGTTGTATAATAGTATGTCATATGATAAAATCGACTGTTGCATATGATGTGTTAGACTATACTATATCTTGTTGGTTCATGTATTATACTTCCTCGGTCCCATAACAAAGTATCAATTTTTTCATTTTAATCCGTCCCATAACAAAGTATCCATTTTCTTTTTTAGTAATCATACTATCTACCTAACATTACAAATACTCTTACAACTTACAATATATTACACAAATGTCAATGTCATTACCTTTATATCACACATACTAATAAGGTTATTTTAGTCATTTCTACTTTATTCCTACTATATCCCAATATAATACTAATATTTCTAAAACTACGTGCAAAAAACAAATGAATATTTAGTTCCGGGACGGAGGGAGTATTTGTATTATATTAATATGAATTATGTGTTGTCGGTAGTAATATTATGTGTTATTTATTAACACACTACCGTATGTCATTAGGTTGTTAAATATTCCCTCCGTCTCATATTTATATATCCATTTGCTTTTTGCACGGGCTTTAGAAATATTAGTATTATATTGGGATAAAGTAGAAATAAATATAAAAAGACTCAATTAACCCTATTAGTATTGTATGATATAAAATGAATGACATTTGTGTAATATATTGTAAATTGGAAGAGTTATTTGTAATGTTAGGTAAATAGTACAATTACTAAAAAAAAAATGAAATGGATATTTTGTTATGGAACGGACCAAAATGAAAAAATGGATAAATTGTTAAGGGATGGAGAGAGTATATGTTTATTTATAAACATAAAAACTTAAAATTTATATCAATATTTAATATTTTTTTATCCCCTACCAACATATCAATTTATTTTTTATATTATTGTATTTAATATTAAAAATACTATTATATTTGTATAATATTTTATACAAATATCATCATACTTGTATTATATAATATTAATAAAAAAAAATTATTTTTATTTTTTTAATTTATAATATGTATGAATATCAAAAAATATATAAATCTCTACTTAAGGGTTAAGGGATGAAGATAGTATTAAAAATTGTCGCAAAGGTAAACTTATATCTCCGAAAACATCATAGTAATATTTGGTGACCAAATGACATTTTTAATAATTATATATATAAAATTTGTAACTATTTCTATACGAATTTCAGTTAATAATTAAAATAATATTAATAAATAGGAAAAATAAGTATAAAATCCTTACATGATTTTTGTAATTTGCTTAAAATCGTTTTAGTCCTAAAATTTTATATTATCTATCGTGGTTTAAAAAATATTGCATGAAAAACTCTTTATGTTAATACTTAAAAGTGATTGCAATTTACGTATCCAAATACAATTGTTCCCTGTGTTGTACTTGCTTGCTGTAGCTAGAGCTGTTAAACGAACCGAGCCGTTCGTGAACTCGACTCGATTCGGTTCGGTTAAAGCTCTTTCCCGAACGTTAATGAACCGAGCCGAATAACATAAACAGACTCGTTTAATTAACGAACGAGCCCGAGCTTTGTTCGCGAACGTTCGTTGAAATAATATATTTATTATAAATATTATAGATGCATATAAAATTATAATTAATTAATAAATAAAATATGAATTTAAAATATATAAATAAAATAATTTTAAAATTTCTTTTTAAATTATATATAAATTTTTAAAAATGCAACAAACGAGCTCGAACAAACTCAAACGAGCTTAATCGAGTCGAACACGAACACGAGCTAAAACAATAAAAATTCTTATCGAGTCAAGCTCGAAAGCTTAAAGAACGAACACGAATCTTGTTCGCGAACGTTAATGAACACTTAAAATTTGGCTCGGTTCGATTCGTTAAAAGCTCTAACTGTAGTGGAGTAATAGCAAAGTTTGTTGTATTGTTCAATTGTGCTCCATTTTATTAACAGTCGCACTTTGTACTCGTGAAATGTAATCGCTGTTAAATATTAATGAAAGAAAATTTTTATACAATATTTTGAAAACGACGAATGAGTAAATATGAAATTTCAAAATATGAGTTTTAAACAAATTGCAAAAGTTAAAAAAAATAAATAAATAAATAAAAATAAAAATAATGTGATTTTGCCTAATAAATATCACTAAGAGGATTAAAACACATCTATCCTTTATATTTTAAGACCCAAAATGGTATCTGCAAATATTCTTAACCTTATCCTATCTGTTACATTTCGTACCCATTAATATATTTTTTTAAAAATAAATAAAATTATGGGCCCCACTCTGAATCGTCACCCAAAATTATTTGCTATGAATTTTTGTACTGATCGGTAGAGACTACACTAAAGGCCAAACTTCCCCTTTCCATTAATAATTTAAGCATGTGATAGAGTTAGATTGATTTTAACACATTATAATTATATATACATTACATATTATCTCCGACTAATTTGTCTCATTTAGATTATGTAAAAAATTTTAAGTATTATATAATTAATTAAAAAGTGTATTAATAAAAATAATTTTAGATTAAAATTAAGATGACTAAATAATTTAATTAAAATAAAAAATTATAAATTATGAATTTTTAAAATGTATTTAAAGTGTAGAATTATATTTCCAAAAAAAAATGACAAATTATGTGGGATAAATCAAGTGGGACGGAGGGAGTATAACTGATTTAGTTGTAAATATATTTGGAAGCCCCTAATTTTTCATTTTTTTGAATAAAAAATTATAGTTCCTCCTCCGTCGTTCAAATCTATATTCACTTTTCTTTTTGAATTGTCATTGAAAAATATTCTTGTTTGAAAAAATTATTACATTTTTATACTTTTTCTTAACTATAAAAGGAAAAAATAATCATTATTATTCATTTTTATTAAAACTTGTACCCGGTCAAATGAGCGCACACGACAGAGGGAGTATATATTTTTATAATTATGTTAAATTGTCCCTTAATTATAAATTTATTATCTTATTATACTTTTAATCCATTGCAAGAGAGTTCTATTTTCAGATAATCGAACGTTTGTTACTATACTAAAAATTTATTTTATATTCAAAAAGATCAAACCAATATATATTTATATCAAATTAAATAACTATTCAAATTCAAATTTTTAATATTAAAAAATCGAAAACCCACAAACAAACATGATAATACTGATTTTGGATATATTCTTTTGATAATTTCTATAAGCATACGTGGTAATTTTTTTACTAAATTTATGCGGAATTGAGACAAAATTTTTCGAGGATCTTCGGGTCGTAGGTCCGGTCATGGCAAATTATGTCGAATTGAGTTTGTAGTTTTATGGAATATGGAGTTTAGATCGATGCAAGGATCATATTGTAATGATAAAATTGATTTATAATTTTATGTCTGTTGTGCCATAGAGAATCAAAGGGTATGCTTGTTTGGGCGATTTGATTTTGCATTTTGATTTCAGTGGCAAAAATTTGAATTTAAATAATTGTTTGATATAATATTATAAATGTAATAGTATAAAAAAATAAATTATATGTATTTTATTTGATGTTGTGAAGAAGAAAAAAAATTGTGAATAATATAAAACAAATAAACACACCCAAAGATGACGACTTTAGATTGATAGTAATAAATTGGTAGTTTTTTCCGCAGCTCAATTGATCTTAATTGTGGACAAAATGATACTTCCTCCGTCCCATAATAAATGAAATATTTTTCTATTTTAGTCCGTTTCATAGCAAAATATTTATTTTCTTTTTTAGTAATTCTACTATCTACCTAACATTACAAATACTCTTACAACTTACAATATATTACACAAATGTCATTATCTATATATCACACCAATACTAATAAGGTTATTTTAATCGTTTCTACTTTATTCCTACTACATTACAATATAATGCTAATATTTTTAAATTCCGTGCAAAAAGCAAATAGATACATATGGGATATAGTGAGTATTTTGTATATATTTTAAAAATAGTGGATAAAATAAATATATATATATATACTTTTTTTTTATGGTAAAAAATGGTCATAACTATGTGAAATTTCTATATACATAATTTATTCGTGACTATCAAGATTTTATATGGACTATTGTTATACACTGTTAATTTTAATATTGTATCTATATTATATTAATTATTTATTTTTTATTTATTTTTTCATGTGCTATTAAAGTGTGGAGTATTTTTATATAATATAAAGATAATATTGAGTAATAACTATGAACAATGACATGGAATAGCATCATTTAAAATAAAAAGTATAATTTTCCAAAGACATTTTAGCATTTATTATTTTGGTCACATTTATGCTTTACTTTATTTATTCAAATTTGGTCAATTCCGCTTTTTTCTGCAACTTTCCCATGTTCATATTGCCTTTATAGATCTTTAAATGA